CTCCCCGTCTTTCTGCTTCTCATCGAGCAATGACCCAATAGAAACTTCGGTGTCGTCATCGAAGAAGTTTGCGAGGAACTTTGACTCCATGTCGTCCCAGCTATTTATGCTCCCTGGCTTGAGGCGACGATACCAATCGAAGGCGGCTCCGCGAAGAGTGCCAACGAATGACCGCACCATCAGAGGTTCATTACCAGAGATGACTCCCAAGTGCGATTTGAAATATATCAAATGCTGAGTAGGGGAACCCATCCCATTAAACGGCGTGAAGTTAATTAGACTGAACTTCGCCGGATATGGGATTGATTCCCACTCCCTTGGGTATGGACAAGGAATGCCCGTCTTTTTTGTCTCTTGAGCGGAAATCAACGTATTGATTTTGCTCTCGAGATTTTTGATCTTCAGGTTTTCGCTGGTTTCTTCGCCAGCATTCTCATTACCACCCCCTGCGTTGACGGGAGGATCATTGGTATTACGAGCATTCGCATCCTCATCTTCCAGATTAATCGGGTTACGATGATTCTGCTCGCCTTGTTGGTTCGCCAATGCTTGGATCTGTTGGTCATGCATTTCTCTCATCTGCTGCATGGCCATCTCCATCTCAAATTTGAAACTTTCTTTCTGCTTAGCCAAAGCGTCTTCAAGCATCTTGGCCATCTGTTCCGCGCTTATCATCAGGGCCTCGCGGGGTTGTCCCTCACTGGATACAGTATTATCTGACGCCACCGCGGAACCGGCATCGGATTCTTCATCTTCTGAAGGGTGTCTTGTCCGAACCCTACCATAGGTTGCTCGTTCAATGGCTCCGGACTGCAGACGGGTTCTAGGTCGGGATGCTTTCAGTATTGTTTCGAGATCATCTCGTATCGACGTCCCTCTGTTGGTCATGTTGGCGGTGACTCTCGGATGTTCACCGTCTTTGACCGCTATTCTTCTTCGTTGGAAACGCCTATGCCTTGGTTTTGGCGTTTCGACACTAAGTCTCTCGAATACTGAAACCCTGTCAGGGACTGTCTTGACACAGTTGCATTCTGAGAGTACTGCCCGAATAAGCTTCGAGCAAGGACATTGCGCTTCTAATCTTTGAGGGCTCCTCTTTCTGGTTTTATTCGTACCCCCTGCACGATAGTACAGCTCGTCCGTTTGACGGTTGGAGCAACCCATCGTGTGTTGGCACATTCTCCCAGGTATAACGTCGTCGTCATCAGACGACAACATTTCCTTCTGAGGATGGTTTATCTTCTTCGGACCGTCCAGAGTCGCACGCCTTGAAACGCGCCTTTGTGAGCGTGAATCTCCAGCAGGCTCCTGTACTTCTATGCGCAAAGTTGTACGCTTGGGCGCCGCAATTTTCTCCAAGTGCTGCGAGTTGCGGCGACCTCCAGCATGTGATATTGTTTGGGACTTCTTCATTGGTCCCAAGCGTTCTTGGACTGGAGCTTTACCTCGTTCTTTGGGAATAGGACCGAGGCGCTCCAAAACTGACTTTCTCTCCTGGGATGGTCCTGCAGGATTTCCCGGAGCAGTTGCAGAAATCACCGGCCGTTTGGATTGATTTGCCGGGTGTTGAACCTTTGGCGGTTGCGGGTTTTGCTCCTTAGTCTGAACCACTCCAGACTTCGGCTTCCAAACCTTGCGAGTCGATGACTGTTTCTCGGCCACCTCACGCTGTAGCTTGCGACGGGCTTCTTCAGCTTTAGCCCGCGCTTGCGCAGATAATGCGCGGCGCTTGCGGATACGTTCCTCCAGTGTCGAGCGGTCCCGTTTGACACGAACCCACTCCATTGTTGATGGCTTGGAGGAACCATCCTTCATTTGCTGTTGAGGCTGTTTGCCTCGTTTGTTCTTCAGATCCGCATGGTAACGGACCCCGTCAACAGACTCCATGGCCTTGGCGAACTGCTTCGCGAGGCGTTGGCGCTGCCTCTGGCGAGCTCTCTTAGAGAGAATCACCACGCCTTCGACGGCGGATTTGACCTGCTTCGAGGCCGGTAGGACTTCACCTGACGCAACTTCGGCGTCGAATGGGGTGAGGTCGTCGTTGGTGGCTTCAACTTCTTCGCACCAACGGACTTTTCTCCTGGAGGAGAACTTCTGAAACTTCTTGGACTTGGGGGAGGAGGTAGATCCAGACGAGGACACGTACTCCTCGTACTTCTGTTGGTCGAACTCATACTCGACCTCCTCCACGACCGGGATCGAGATCCGCGGCTGCGACGCTCCGATCTCAGCAGTGAGATCGGTGGCTCCCACTGTGGTCGCCAGATTGTTCGCGGGAAAAGTTGGTGTTTTCTTCATTATCGATGTCATTGCACTCAGTTAACAACTTTATGCGTTACAAAGAGATCCGGTCTTTTTATAAGATCCGGCTTACAATGAAAATCAAAATAAAACAAAGAAATCAAAATTACAACTTCTCTCTTTTACCGAACAAATCACAAGATCCTGTTATCCGGTCTCTTGCTTCTGTGGGTTGTTTGCCTGCGCCGGGGTTGCTTACCGTGGACCACCGCGTGATCTGGATCCAAGCAGATCTACGACGTATTACGGGTATTATCCCACCAAGGAGATAATAGCCGGGAGGGATCGTTTCACCAAGGAAACGACCGCTCGAATCTCGGGATCTAAGAACCAAGCTTAGATCCGGAGTGTAACGACGTAGATCTGAGGATTAGACTCTCTCGAACTCCTGCCTTTTTCGGTGCGGGTGCTCGCTAAGAATCAAATCCGGGTCTCCAAGTCTTCAAGCCTTCAGATCTCCGAGTTGAGGTGACAATCCGGCAGAGTTTCGGCTCTCTCAAAAGTTTCAGAAGAAGTCCCTCAAATGAACAACCACCCCCCCTATTTATAGCCTCTCTGAACTGTGCCTTTGTGCACAAGAGAGAGAGGGGGGGGAGTCGGGCCACCTGAGGGTGGCTCGGCTCATGCCGAGCCACCCTGAGGTGGCTCGTGATTTGTCGAACCATCATGCTGAACCATGCTAAGGGACCTATAGGTAATTTTATACGCCTACACTAACCTTCACACTTAATGATGTATTGGATCATTATAATGTCTCTACTTGTTAGCAAAGGTTTCATGTTAAAACTCTCACTCAAATTTAACTAGATGGACATTAGGTTTAGTGGTTCCAACTTTGGGTTAGTTGAATGCATATTACTACTAAAAGTTACTAATTTGCCACATATATGGAAACTGTATACTTGAATTAAAATAAGCTGAGCACTTATACTCCACACAGAAGTAAGTTAATTTTTTGCTTGCATGAAAAATTAGATTTTAAATACACATCAATATATCTATTAAATGCTAACTTAAATCAAAGGACAAACAATAATGGATGATCCAGATGGCTTGATTTCTACTTCGTTTTTAAAATCTAAACACTTGGATTAAAAGCCAACAATCAGGTTTGAGATCCCATTCAAGGTTATAAGTATGGATTTTTGAGAGGAAATCCAACAGCCCTAACCAAAACTAATCAGCCCTTGAATCAACTAGCATATCTAAAGGAGAGGAAGAATTATGAGTTTGGAATCAAGCCCTACTTCATCATGCGTATACTATGTCAAGCTATTGAAAATACAAGAAAACATTACAGGAGCTCTCCCAGAAATGTCCAGTTCAAGTTTAGTTGATTCAGTCTGAGATCAATTTTGAAGTTTCACATAGACAGTGTGTGTTATCAGATTTTCAAACCATTAAGATCATCATCCAGATTAGTACACGAAGAAGCCGATATGTATAGTGACAGCAACACAAATGCTATATTTATCCAAACTCCACTCTGGTTAGGCAACAGTGAAGAATAAACCAAAATTTTAACAATAGTAAATGAATGTACAATTAGTGGTTGTTAAACACAATGAATAATAAACAAATTTTATAATTATAGTAATTAATGACAGTAACACAAATGCTATATTTATTTAAACTCCACTCAACACAACAGTGGAGAATAAACCAAATGTATAATGAGTAATTAAATATACAATTAGTGGTTGTTAGACACAATGCCAGATCTTGAGGACTGCTTTAGGTCCCTTATATTTAAATAAAGGTAGTCTTGATCATTAGAGAATGCAGAATTTACACAGAATGGTGCGAACCCAGCATAATCTTTCTCAAGTTTGGATAAGCCAACATCAACTATGTACTTTAGAAGATCAAGTTTCTGAACTAAAGGTTGTGCTGCATATTCCTCTATTGGCATCCACTGCAGAGAAGAGCAACCATAAAAAAACATTCATTTTAAACTTTTGACATATCAACTGAGTCATTCTCTGTATCTTATTATTTCCTTCTCTAGGATTGAATATAATAGTAATCTAATGTCTTACAAGAACAGAACTTTATTAGTCGATCTTCTAAACAGAAAAAATGTTTTAATTAAAAGTAGCTAAAAACATTTTATTTTAGTGATCCTTCTAAATGAGAAAATAACATTACCGACAATACGACACTGTTTTAATTTGAATGAACTTCCAAATAGCAATACTACCCTCATCAACCACTCTGCAAAAAAGAAAGGCTTTATGGATGCATTCCTACTTTAGAAGGATTTAGTTCTTTTGAATGTTCATGCTATATAAGCAATAATGTAAGGTTTGCTGCCTACACATAAGTTTATAGAAGGCTACAAGCCCTTTCAGGTGCATTAGGTACTTGTCAGGAAATGCTGCAACAATCAGAGGGTTATGACAAGATTACCAAGGGGAAATTGCTAATTTTTCATTAAGCCTTTTCAGTATGCAGATCATGCATCATAGTGGACCTCATTCTGATAGGTCAAGGCAAAGGTATGGTGATCAAGGATTAATTTATAAATAGCTAATGAATGCAAAATACATTCTTCAATTCATTTACCATGGTAGACTTTGATTACCTGGGCTGCCTCAATTTCTGATTCTTGCTTCTGAATGTCAAATGACAGAGGACGTAACATGCATACAAAGAACAAATCGGATTTCTCGAAGAAAGACATGTGACTTTGCCTGAAAACCAACACCCAACAACAATATTCACAAGGAAACTCATACTATTTTGCCAAGTCTAGCACTAAAGAAACTAGAAAATAAAAGAACAGAACCATCTTCTACTGCCGGAATACTCTAGCAAATTGGAAAGAAGTTACTCTGGTGGATGTTTTTGCTAGGTATAGTAACAAAAAAGATAAGGGAGCATATTAATGAAATGCCATTATACGGGAACTAACAGATAAACAACCATGTCATTATGAAGTGTATAACTACAGGCCAACTCCTATGAGATACTGCCATAATGGTAATCACATGGCATTCTTTGTCACGTTTACTTTTCCAAACAGCAATAGATGAAAAAGAAGGTGCATGATTGGAAGAAAACTATGCAGAACTTTGATAAGGAAGAACATATCATAAGATTAAATACATTCCACCAGATTAAATTAATTGAAATACCGAAAAAACTATAAGGAAGCTTACATTTATGTGTACAGTGCACCGACGAGGGAAAAGAATGAAAGCTAAATTATTCGACCAGTTCAAATTATTAAAATCATATCTATATGATCTCAAGGAGATAAGTTAATTCAGAAGATTTATAGATAAACTTACGTATGACTTGGCTACAATTTGTGACCAAAAAACTCATCAAGCCATTAGGTCTTGGGTCCACCAAGGTATCCCCATCCATCATATTCTATCCTTTTGGATGCATGGTTATACTCCACATAATCATTAAAAGCACTTCCTACTATTGGGCCTTTGGTGAATAAACCTCCATTTGAATACCCATGGGCTACCTGCCAAATCAATAACAGCCCACACAACCTTCCTGTATGCAGCGGCTGTCACAAAACCATGACGATCAACTGTTACCACCAAAATCTTGATGATGAGTTGAGGGCAACCTTAAATCCAACTTGACTGTAGAAAAAATAAAATAATAATCCTCAATTCTGACCATGACTTGAGATTCTTGGTGAAGTGGTAGTGACCATACACCATAATCACCTAGCTAGATTCAAGCAACCTAGATTCATATCTTATCAATCACACATTGTAGGAAAGTTAGGAAATCTGATTCCATAGAACTAGGAAATTAGAATTTGAATTAATAGGATATTTCTATTTTTAATTGTTTCCTTGTTTTTTCCTCTTTTTTACTATTTTCTGTTCCTTAATTTAGGAACCTTGTCTTAAGCCCTATCCTATTTAAATACTGATGTAATTCATATTAATATATACAATAAAAAAGAGAGTTTTCCTCTCTGTATCTTTTCTTTCATGGTATCAGAGTGGGTAACTTCCCGTATGAACAGTGTCACCTCGTGAACAGTGCATCTGATCTGTCAGGAGCTGGAGCTGATGGGAACCAGTTAAGAGCTGGAGCTGATGGGAACCAGTTAAGAGCTGGAGCTGATGGGAACCAGTCAAGAGCCTTGGTAGACGAGAGCTTGGAAGCTGAAGATGAGAACCTGGGAGTGTAAGTTGAAGACTTGAAGCTGTTGGACTGATACTCAAAAGTCAGGACTGATACGCAAAGGATAGGGACTATTATGCAAGACTTTCAAAGTTCAAGAACTGTAATAAGTGTTTAGATATTACAAACAATGGTTGTTTGCTGTTTTTCCTGTGTTTGCTGTTTTTTTGTTATTTCTGTTGGAGCACATCACTGTTCGTGCACGTGATGAATTCTTGAGTTGAGATTGTATAAATAGGAAGATGTAAAGATTGAAATACAAGAAAAATAATAGAAATCTTCTTCTCAGTTTACAATCTTCTCTTAATTCTCTTTCTCAATTCTCTCTCTCTCTAAATTCTCTCTCAAATCTCTCTAAATTCTCTGTCTAATTTCTCCCAAGCTTCATTAAGATCACAACTATGGCCAGGGATGGGCTCAGGAAGGTGAACCGAGGCTCGCGAGCCTCACAATTGGTATCAGAGCAACAAGAAACTAAAACTGGTGTTGAAGATTTCTCGATCGATCAAGATGAAGCTTTTGCTGATGAGGCTATTCCAGATGAGAGGTTTGCTCAATTAGAGGATGCAGTTGTTCAAAACAGTTCATTCAATCGACAACAGGGTTCATTCAATCAGCAAATTTCGACACAGATGGGTGAGCTCTCCTCTAAACTGGAGTTTTTGATTTAGGAGTTCAAGAACTCTAAGAATTCTGACCAAGGAATTTTGGGTTCTGGACCAAGGGAAGATCACATGATTCTGAATTCATGGTCAAGAGGGGACAGGGAGAAATCAAGATCAGGAGCTGGAGAATCAAGCAAGAATGATCACAATAATGATTACCTTCCTCAAAATCGAAGGAATGTTGACTTCAATGGAGAATCTCAATCTGTTAACAGTTTTGGTAATCTCTCGAACTCAAAGGAATTCTTTCTTTAGCAATCAAAAACTTATTCAACCGAAGTCCTTGCGCTTGGATTTTTCCTCTTTCTCTGGTTCTGAGAATGTAATAGCTTGGTTAGAACACACTGAACAAATCTTTGATTATTATGATATCAAAGATGATGAATGGGTCAAGGTTTGTTCATTCTATTTGAGGGATGAAGCTTTACAATGGTATAGATGGCTCATTAGAAACATTAAAGATTACAATTATTAGGCTGTTTTTAGAGAAGAATTAATTACCAGATTTGGTCCTAGTGAGCTCTCAAGGTCGTATGATGCTTTCTCAACTATGAAACAAACTTCTACAATTAGGGAGTATTTGGGAAGATTTGAACAAGCATTAGGACTGCTAGATGACCAACCCTCTAGAAGACACATTCTTGAGAGATTCATAGGGGCACTAAAAGATGAACTAAGGTATGATGTTGCAGAAGCCAGACCAACCTCATTGAGAGGAGCTGTATCTTTAGCAAAACTGTTTGAAGATAAGCAGAAAAATGAAAAGAAATCCAAGGGGAACTAGAACTTTTTCAACTCAGGGGGTTCCTCAATGAACCAATCTCACAATCCTCCTGTAAAAGAGAACCTCAGACCCTCTCCCCAATTCAAAAACTTACACCTGAAGATATACAAAAAATGAGTCAAAACTTATGTTTTACTTATGATGAGAAATAGCATTGTGGACATCAATGTAAGGGAAAACAATTGTTTGTCTTGGAGGGGATCATGGAAGGTGATATGGAGAGAAGTGAAGTTGACTCTGGGAAGGAGGGAGAATATCCTAAGACAATTATTCTAGCTAAAAGTTTGGTGAAAGGGGCACCCTTTATCTCAGTACAAGCTCTTAGTGGAATTACTGCTTCCCACACAATTAGAGTGGTAGGTTATTACAAAAATCAAGCTGTTAGCATCCTAATAGACTCTAGATCCACACATAATTTCATCAATGCAAAACTAGTTAAGAAACTGGGAATAACAGTGACAGAATCCAACAGTTTTGATGTATTGATGGCCAGTAGGGAGTAAGGGGGAGGAGTATGCCAAGAAGTGCCCTTAGATTGCCAAGGGGTGAACATTCAAGTTAATCTATTGGTCATGCCCATGGGAGGTAGTCAGGTTGTACTAGGAGCTGACTAGATGAGAACCTTAGAGGATATTACTTTGAATTTCAATAAACTACAGGTGACATTCATGAATGATGGAGTTAAAAAGACATTGCAAGGAGTGCTTCCAGATGAATTACAGTTGGTTGACATGAAAAATATTGCCAAAACCTTCAGAGAACAGGAGCAAGGATTCATAATTCAGCTGTGCAGTGTAGGCTTACAAGAGTGCACAACAGAGGGTACACCTAAGGAGCTACCTACAGACATGCAAAAGTTGATACAAGAGTTTGAGGTTGTGTTCCAAGAACTACCTTATCTTCCTCCTAACAGAAATATAGACCATAAAATTCCATTAGAAGAGGGAACAAAACCAATCTGTATCAGACCTTATAGACATGCACATTTCTTAAAGGATGAAATTGAAAAACAGGTGAAAGAAATGCTTCAAAAAGGGATCATTAGGCCCAGCAATAGTCCCTTCCCTTCACCAGTGGTGATGGTAAAAAAATCTGATGGTAGCTGGAAGATGTGTATAGATTATAGGTCCCTCAACCAAGCTACAATCAAAGACAAATTTCATATTCCTGTCATAGATGAACTGTTGGATGAACTACATGGAACAAAAATTTTCACTAAGCTTGATTTAAAATCTGGTTATCATCAGATCAGGATGCATGAGCCAAATATCCCAAATACTGCTTTTAGAACACATAGTGGCCATTTTGAGTTTCTAGTCATGCCATTTGGACTCACTAATGCTCCTTCTACTTTCCAAGCTCTTATGAATGCTATATTCAAAGATTTGCTTAGGAAGTCCATCTTGGTTTTCTTTGATGATATATTAGTGTATAGTAAAAGGTGGCAGGATCACTTACTCTATCTAAGACAAGTATTCCAGATCATGAGAGAGCATCAATTGGTGGGAAAAATATCAAAGTGCGGTTTTGGAAAAAAAAAACAAGTGGAGTATTTAGGACATATTAGGTCACAAGAGGGGGTTAGGGTTGACCCTAATAAAATTAAGGCTATTATTGAATGGCCACTGCCAACAACCTTGAAGGGACTAAGGGGTTTCTTGGGCCTAGCAGGGTATTACAAAAAATTTATCAAGGGATTTGGAGCAATATCACAATCCTTAACACAACTTTCGAAGAAGGGGGCTTTCAACTGGCATACATGTGCTGAAGAAGCTTTTGAAGCCTTGAAGATTGCACTAACCAATCCTCCAGTCCTAGTTATGCCAGATTTTAACTTGATATTTGTGATAGAGTGTGATGCTTCTGGGTCAGGGATTGGAGCTGTATTGATGCAAGAAGAAAGGCCTATAGCTTACTTTAGTTTTGCTTTAAAGAGGAGGAATGTCACACTTTCAACCTATGAGAATGAGCTATTGGCAATCATTCTGTCAACAAAGAGATGGCAACAATATTTACTGGGGAGAAAATTTGTGATTAGAACTGATCATCAAAGTCTTAAATATCTACTGGAGCAAAGGATTCAAACAGGTATTCAGAATAAGTGGCTTGCAAAGCTACATGGCTATGACTATAGTGTGGAGTACAAGCCAGGCAGATTAAATAAGGTTGCAAATGGATTATCAAGGATTCATGATGGTGAGGAGGAGATACACGCACAAGCCACTAAGGTTTCAGTAATCACTACTATTAACAGTGAATGGCTAGAGGAGATCAAGCACATGTGTTCTACAAATAATTTCTTTAAGGAGCTTGATGCAAGGTTACAGGCTTACAGCAAGGGCAATTGGATATTGAGAAATATTACAGGAAAGGGAGAATTTACTACTACAAGGGTAAACTTTTGATTAGCCCTAATGATCAGCACATTAAATCCTCCTTACTAAAGGAGCACCATGACAGTCCTACTATAGGACACTCTGGAATCACTAGGACCCTACAGAGACTGAGGAGGGCTTTTTACTGGAAGGGTATGAAAAGGGATGTTCAGGCGTATGTCCAAGCTTGTGACATCTGCCAAAGAGATAAAGGAGAGAATATAGCCTCTCCAGGTCTTCTACAACCTCTACCTATTCTAGATATATTTGGGAAGATCTCTCAATGGATTTCCAACGATTTCGGAGAAGGAAAGAGAGAACCGATAAAATTAATCACTTTCCAACGATTTTGGTGTTTAGGGGACGGAAACACACTTTCCTCCAAATCTCACGTGGCGATGATTTTCCAGCCCTCTTCCATTTCAGCTTTGAACAAACCAAACAGCATGAAAATCGAAAAACTGACACAAAACGCCCAGTCAGTTTTTATTTTTGACCTTTTCCCTCCATTTAAGCCTAACCAAACAGCCCCTTAGAGAAGACTAAGCGATCTTGTTTTCTATATTCGTATTTGCTAAGAAACATGATGGCTAATATGAATGCAGATAGTGATCATTCATCTATGAAGGTTGTGTTCTAAGTGTTTTATCTAAATTATCTTATATGTATGTTGAGATAGTGATCATTCATCCATGTAGATTATGTTCTAAGTATTTTATCTAAATTATCTTATATGTATGTTGAGATGCATCATCAACCATATGTATTTCTTCATTTTTAATATTAGGTTCATTCATAATATGTAGGACATTTGTGAGAACATCACTATAATTATCATCTATTACAGTTAGAGGTTCTGTTTACTTTTGAACTTGTTCTTTCTCAAGATTTTCTAGAAATATAATACCTCTACTTTCTATGACCCTTTTTTATTTACTGTAAAACCTATAACCTTCTGATTTTTTCGAACACTTCAAAATTTAAAATCCAACTTATCTGTAAATTGACATGGAATGAAAACGTGGGCTAGAGAAATATGGGTTTTAGAACCCTAGTTCCACATGTTTTCTTCTATTCAATAATTCACAAGGTGTAGATATAACTGAATTGGTGAGAATTATATTCAAAATTTAGTTTGTAGTTAGCAATGCTTCTCTCTAAAACTTCTTGG